TCAGTGGTGGTAGATAACAGAACGTTACAGATAGTTATACGCTTAACTGAGTAATCCTATTCTGTCAGTGAATATATACATGCCCATAGTGAAACCCTTTTAGAAGCACAAAAATAAGTGCATAGATAGAAATAGACTCTAAAATCTGCATTAAGTGTCAACATAAGTGGCTACTTTCAGATGCATAAGTAGCACTTAAATGCATAAATGTGAAATAGTATAGTGTCTCAATACGTCCAAGAAGGGGAAATATTAGCTATCCACCTTTGTGCTTATTTATCTATCCATCTGGACCTTTTCTATTTTCTGCAGTAAAGAAAAGCCTACATGCAGCTCATCTCAGTGATACACAGAGGGTTTGTCTACACAAGACACTACGGTGAAGTAGCAATGAGCTACTCACCCATAGCTCATTGCTACTGTGCAATAGTGTCAGGAAAAAACCTTGCGGCGATTGTACTATGTAGTCTGCCGCATGTGTAGACACAGCCAGAGAGTTGTATAAACTTTGTTGGGCTACCCCTATTCAGATTAAATCCATACAGGTTAGGATTTTGTGTGGCTGGGAAAATGTTTCCCCTTAGAATGCATAATACATCACGAGCTTCATTCTTTCTACCGTACAAAAATATGGAGATGTATTATAAGTGGTGTTTTGACAGCCATACAGATAAATGTCCTCAGAACAACACAGTACAGAAGAAGTCTAATGCCTTAAATCTCACAAGTATTTGGAAGCACACTAAAGAAAACAGTTTACCAGAAAGGGGAATGTATATTGCAATGTCCAATGCAAGCAAACATGCCAAAGGAATTATTACTGGGGTAATATTTCCTACCTCATTCTTCACCTGAATGTACTTGTCTTCAACCACATATTCAGTATTCATATGCAAGCAAGGGGGACCTGTTAATGTGTATGTGCACAAGCCTATACCACACAGGTTGAATTATGCACCCCCCACAACCAATGGAATGCAGTCATCCATCATCTTTGACCATCTGCTCAGACGTGGAGATTTTCCTCCCATTCCCTTCCCCCACACTGTGCTTGAGGAAAAATATCAAGAGAATAACATTTCTTCTGGTAAAAGGAATATACCAGTGCATCCTGATGAAAGAGGGACTCTTTGTCCTGTAGAAAGGGAAGGCTGCCACAGAACAGATCACTACTGTTCAAACACCTGAGAACAAGCATGTGGAAAATGATATGAGTCCCTAACTGAATTTTTGTCAGTGATAACTGTAACAAAAGACACTCAGATAAATGGAAACCTAGGGCATACTGGGGCTGCAGCTTTCCTTAGGTTGTAAAGAAAGCTCAGGTCTTATCCTCTGTGTTGGTTTTACCTTGTATATTGTTCATAAAACTTTTATCTTTGGCGCCTCCAGGGGCTTTTAAGTAATATAATGCAGTATACTGTTTTGTATGGACACTTGTGAAAAATTATCTTTTAGCTGTGTTTGAAAGTAGTGTAGGGCATGTAGCCTAGTGTTACCTTTAAAAGGGGCATACATTAGACAAAGGGGCTATTCAAACACTGCCACCCCTGCCAGCCCACAGGAAAACTTCAAATTTCCTACCCATCCATCGCATTTTTAGGCCTCATTCTCTGTTGCGGTGTGCTACATGCATAAGGGCAAAGTGAACGTAAAATGCTGCTAACTCAGAATGCAGAACTCTGCAGACCTTTGCCCAAATGATTACAGAGGCTCTGGGCAATAGCAAATCAAACCTGTCATTCCTAATGTCTCTCTCAAAACACAAATTGACTAGAATCTGAGAATAATCTTGTATGACCAAATTTATCAATTATAACCACCACCACGCCCCCCCCCACACACACACACTTATTTGCAACATTCTGCCTAGGTTTTCTCCTCCTCTTTTGTGCCTAGTCAAGGAACACCACCAAGAAGGACTCTCTACCCATTCAACCCTGCTCAGCAGACACCAAGTTAGGAAATAAGGTCATTGGACCCACCTTAGAGAAGCTCTATGTTCCACAAACACCCTGGGACAGAGGGCCTAGGAGTGGAGCTAGGGAATGCACTAGGGCCTCTCTTGTTAGGGCGGAGTTCTGGTACACCAGTTGTGTCCTGTTCCCTCCTGTTTAGTGGGGTTATTTATGAACATTGTGTAGAATGAAGCATTTCAGTTACATCCTGTTAAAAAGGTTCCAGTAAAGTGTGAACTGTTCACTTCTCTGCAGTAATGGACTTAGGATCCATTTCCAAGAATTCATGGTTAAGATAGCAGAAGTGGTGGGGATGTTTGGAATGACTTACAGTTAAGTGACTGTGTCACTTCTGAGGTGAGTGGGATTTTGATTGGTGAACAAGTGGACTGCATGAAAGTTTGTAACAAGATGACTGATTGACAGGGATGCTTATGTGAAGATTGATCACCTCGAATGGGGTGATTTAGCCCTTTAAAAGAGCTTGCTGACCAAAGGTCAGGATCTTCAGCTCAGCATTTGCACCTGCTGCTGTTGATCATGTACAGGAAACCCTCACTATTCGTGAACTCCGGGTTTGTGGATTCAAATATTCATGGGGCGGGGCAGAGCCAGGAGGTAGGTGGAGAGTGAGGGCCAGGGATGTGAAGGGAGGCAGCATCGGTGGCATCTTCAGCACCGTACTTGCACCCGTGGCTGAGGAAGTAATAGGGTGTTCATTGTCATGGTCAGTTGTTGACCAGAGCTCAGAGACAGGACCTTTCCTGTCCAGTTCTTTTGTTCTGAGAGGTCCAGGAGTGGTACAGAGGAGCAGATCAGGGGTCTGGGTTTTCAGCTGCTGCTGTTGAGTGGAGTGTCCTGCCATTTGTGGCTGGATTGTCATCATGGGCACTTGGCTTTGCATAGTGTTCTGGCTGTCTTCTCCTTGAAAGAGTCCAGAGCACATGCAAGTGGCCCTCCTTTGGACCCTCTCGATGCTGTTTGCTTTTGATTCTGAGAGCCTGTGAAGACAGAGTGTCTGGGCTCAGTGCACAGTGCATAAAGAAAGCTAGGTCCCTCAGAACAGCAATCTAAAATGACCAGCATGATAAGCAAGGAGCTGCACAGAGCTAGCCACAGGGAAATGCTGGGGAGAAGGGTCTTTGAAATTCCAGACCTTTTTAGGCCTTAGTTGCTTGACTCAGAGCTGCAGGAAGGCGTTTCCATTCACTAAGGATCAATAGCCTATTTAGTCATGTTTTGTGATCTAGGCCCCTGGCAGATGTTAAAAGAATGGTGCAATTAGGATTGGGAGAATTTTATGCCCCAACCCAAACACTGTGCCACCTAAAATGCATGCCTGGCATGGTGATGTTGAGGCTGGGGCATAAAATTCTTCTCATCCAAATTGTACCACTGCAGAGTCCCTCCTAGCTTGATCCTGCAGATCATAGTTCATAGTTGGTAGGGTCAGAAGGGACCTGAGCAGGTCATCAAGTCTGACCCCCTGCCATGGGCAGGAAAGGATGCTGGGGTCAAACGACCCTGGCTAGGTGATTATCAAGCCTCCTTTTGAAGACCCCCAGGGTAGGAGCAAGCACCACTTCCCTTGGAAGTTGGTTCCAGATCCTAGCCGCCCTGACTGTGAAGCAGTGCTTCCTGATGTCCAGCCTGAACCTACTCTCGGTCAACTTATGGCTGTTATTCCTAGTCCTGGTAGTGCTCAGGGGAACAGGGTCTCTCCCATTCCCTGCTGGTCCCCACTGGTAAGTTTATAGACGGCCACCGTCTGGTAAGTTTATAGACGACCCTCTTGATGCTGTCCACATCCCTTCTGAAGTGTGGCACCTAGAACTGGACGCAGTACTCCAATTGTGACCTGATCAATGTTGCATAGAGGGGGAGGATCACCTCCTTGGACCTGCTCATGATGCAGAGTTGGCTCTGCCCCAGCCCTGGGGCTGCCCCCACCCCAAAGCCACTTCCAGACCTGAGCTTGTCAAGGGCCAGGGCTAAGAGTCAGCTGACTGTTATCACTGACCCCAGACAGCCCCAGGTTCAGTTTGAGACCTCGGCTTCGCTGGGGCAGGGCTAACAATCAGCTGATTGTCAACCTCAAGCCTGGAACAACCCTCAGTCTAGCCATGCTACACATACAATTTATAGCACTATACAAATAAGCCATAAAGATGTTCCCCATATTGTGCAGAACAACTTTGTGACTGTTTTGCTACTTTATGGCACCATAAATCAGCTGCAGATGTAGGACTGTTACTATTTATTGTACAGTTAACACATTAATCTCACTGTAATAGTAACATGGGCCAGAAGTCTTAGGTGCCTAAAACCATAGAAATGATAACTAGATTTTAAAGGGATTTGGGCCCTGAATTTGTGTACTGTATATATTTGTCATACATATATATATATATGTATGACACTGCCTTAAGATACCCCTAGATATCATTATCATCTGGGGAGGTGTCATCCAGAAGTAACATTGTATACATCATTAAGCATATGAAATATCAAACCTAAAGCACAGATTGGATTTAAATTACTGGTACCAAGAACTAGAATATGATTGTTTACAGTTGTATACATAGAATTTGATATGATTAATCTGCTTTTTGGTGTGGTAAAACAAGTGTACAGATCATACTAGGAAAAACATTTGCTTCGGTGATGCTGCTTGTTAACCTTGAAGGTGATCTGGGATTCAAGGGAAATCTGAGCAGCCCCTGTCCAAACCCAGTCAAATCTTTCAGTGGAAGGAGTACGAAGGAAGAATTGTATTAAAAGAGCAATGAACATTGGTAGTAAAT